GGCAACCTGCTGAATGTCTGAAATTAGTATTCCAAACCCAAACCGTTGGTTGTTGTTGTAGAGATAGGGTCTCCCTCTGTAGTTCAAGGTGGCCTTGACCTCACTATGTAACCCAGGCTGACCTTGAACTCACGGTGGTTCTTCTTTCTCAGTCTCCCAAGTGCTGGGATTACAGACATGTGCCACCACACCCAGCTTCTATGCTCTTTTAGACTAAATTAAAATAGAGCTCACCAACCTGTGCTTTGATCCAAAAGGGTAGTTGCTATGGTTTCAATGTTTATTCTTGAGAATTCATGTTTGCAAACTTAGTCCACAAAATCCTGTTAATAGTCTTTTAAAGTGGACCTTTGGGAGATGATTGGGAATTGAGGGCTCTGCCATCATGAATAGATTAATCCATTCAAGAGTGAATCAATGTGGCTTTGTCATAAAAGCAAGCTCTCTGGCATACTTGTTCTCACAAAGTAACACACAGCACTGCCTCAAGATTTTGGAGAGTCTCTACCACAAGTCAGCTCTCAACTTCCTAGCCTCCAGAACTTTAAAATTAATTTATTTTCCTTATGAATTATTCAGGAATAATAGCAGAAAATAGACCAACCCAGAAGGAGCTAATAAGCAAAGTAGACAGCCAAGAGACAAAATTGATGTCTTATGTATCAGCAACATAATAATTAGAATTTGAAATTTCAAAAAATACCATTTACACTATGTATCAGTCAGTGCTTACTACAGAAACAGATTTAATGCAAGATACAAATATAAAATAATTTACAAGATTGGTTTACAATGGCTGCCCACAGAGTCAGGTGTGGAGGAATGCAAAAGGCCTGTCTGTGTGCTGGAGGCCCAACAGATGTCCTCAAAGGCCTGGAGCTCAGGGTAGTATCCCTGTAAGAGTCCGTATCTGGAAGCCAAAGGATTTGTGATGGAAAGCTGCAGTGGAAGCCATGACAGACAAGGTGAAGACAAAGACTGGAGTTCCGCTGAAGAAGCAGAAGCAAGCCTTCCTTCTTTGCTTCCCCTTCTGCATCATTTGTTGACAGCCCTCCCTGAGGTGGGTTTTCCACACCCAGAATTATACTGAGCCATTTTAATTGGGTGTTTCTCACACCAAGTGACACAGTCAGTTAACTATCACACAATAGAAGCCCAAAAATTGAAGTTCTGAAATATACATCTAACAAACTATATACAAACATGTAATCAGAAAAGTTGGAACCATATGTAAGCAAATGTGAAGATACTCCTTGTTCAGAAGCGATACAGTCCATGTTAGGATGGCAATTCTAACTTTACAGGTAGATGCAGTAGGGTCCCAATAAATTCTAGTAAGCAAAGATCTTTTTTCTAAGCAAAGATAGATGAGATGGTATAAAACTGGAAAACAATTAAAGAACTTACATGGGGCTGGGGATATGATGGCACAGTGACTGCTTAGCAAGTGCAAAGTTGTGGGTTTGAGTCCTGATACCAAAAAAAAAAAAAAAAAAAAAAAAAAGAAGAAGAAGAAGAAGAAGAAAAGAATAAAAAGAACCTGTGTATCTGATTCTTAGCACTTAGCATAAAGTTATAGCAGTAAAGAGAATGTGGTGTTTATTGGAGAAGGAATAGATGAAAACAGAATAGCAAGCCCAAAAATAGACCCAGGTAAATATACTCAATTGATTGTGTCAAAGAGACAAAGTCAATTCCATAGAGCAAGAAAAGTCAGTTCTACAAATTGCTACAGAATAACTATGGGGAAAATAAACTGTATGAAAACACGTGCACACACACACACACACACACACTAGGTACAAATTCCATGGCCTACCTAAAAATTCAAAATAGTTCACAAAATTAAGTTGTCAAATGCAAAATTATAAAAGATACGTTTGAAAAGCTCTGTGCCCTCGTAAAGAGAGATCTTCAGACCCTGAAATGCACACAGGGAGAGTCCTGTGCAGAACCACTTCTGCTCACAGCCCAGGAACTACAGAGGGTAGAGCGCGGCCTGGAACACACATTTCCTACGCCTTCAGAGGTGTGGCCCTCTGACACCTCAATTCCAGACCTCTGGACTTCAGACTGGAGATAACAAACTTCTGTGGTTCTAAGCCACCCAGTTTGCAGTACTTTTTAAGGTAGCTGTAGGAAAATAATACAGGAATTTCTGCTGTGGCCACAGCTGCCTCCCCAAGCTCACCTCAGAGGAGAGGAGGTGGAAGCAAAATCCTTCACAGGGTGTGGCTGCTACTGGGGGTCACTTCGCACCATGTCTGGGAGCTGGTCACAGCTTGCAAATTCCTGGGGTCAGTGGGAGGATGCGGACAAGGAAGGGCAAGAGGTTGGCTTCCTTGGACTCAGTGATGGTCTAGGGCTACTGATGGTCACTTTACTCTGCAGTTCTGGGGACACAGGATGCCCAGGGCCGGACAAACTCCAACACTTAACCTCTCCCAAGCACTGCCCCAGCCATCCAAGGTTTGATCAAACAAGATGTCCCTTTTACCCACACTATGGAAGACACCTCAGGAAGACACAGAAAGAGGATGCACCACCAGGTATGGTGGCCCATGCCTGTAATACCAACATCCTGGGAGACTGAGGCAGGACAATCATAAGTTCAAGCCCAGCCTGGACAACTTAGCAAGTTTCTGTCTCAAAATAAAACATAAAAAACATCTGGAGATACAGCTCAGTCCAAAGGCCCAGGGTTCAGTCTTCAGAAGAAAGAAAGGAAATAAGGAAGAGAGAAAGGGAGAGAGGGAAACAAAGAGGAAGACAGGGGAGTGTGATGGTTGGTATCTAGATGTCTCCCTAAAGCTTCACACGCTTGTAGGTGGGGCTTTTTGGAGGTGGCTGGAGTTAGGATGTGTGAATGCGAATTAAAGGTGTGTAGTAACAAGTTAGTCTGCTGACTGGCTTAGCATGGTTTCTAGGTGTGGATAATGGGAAGGCCCCTCCTGGGTAGGGGTAGGAGCAACTCATAGGCCTTTAGCCTGCCTGGGATAAAAAGGGAAGAGAGGCTCACTACTTCTGCTGTCTCCTGTCTGCTACATTATGAGCTGTTTCTCCTCTGCAATGCTTTTTCATATAGCTCTGCTTTGTACCCAGCCAACTACAGAAACAAAGCTTTTGTAAATAAGGAGGGATTGGGGCTGAGGATTTAGCTCAGTGGCACAAGTGCCCGCCTGGCAAGTGCGAAGTTGCGAGTTCGAGCCTCCATACCGCCCCCACAAAGGAGGGAGTTGTAGTGAGGGGAGGGGAACAGAAACAAAACAAGTAAGCTATATCATGTGCAGGTACAAATTCCTTATGATTAATGTGATAATGTGATCATAGTGATAATGTGATCATTATGTATATCTAAAATGTACCAATGAAAACCAGAAAAGGTAGCCAGGGATCCAATGAGAACTGCAGAACTCTCAGCATGACAACTCATTCCAGACCCCTGCACTGCAAGACCTGACTCAACTAAGGAAGTGCTGAGCAGCCTGAGGCTGGGACCCAGGGTGACCTCAGCAGCACCTGAGCTCAGCCTCCATTAAAATGGCTGCCTGCGGAAGGCCCAACACTGCCAGGAAAATTTACTGTGTCCTATCCACTACCAAATTATTAGCCCTTGAACTCCCTTCTTCCAAACATTTATTAAAAATGAATTACGGTAGGAAAATATGTACCTTTTGCAACTGAGAGGGGATCTCAGAGAAGCTGGGAGCAATTCTTTTGAAATATAATCAAGTAGGATAAAAAATAGTATAGGAGGAAAAGGAGAAGTAGCTTAGAACCTGTCTCCCAGTCTGCAGGAAGACAGAGACCTTATATAGACAGCTGTCACAAACACAGCTGGGGAATCAAATTTAAACTGACATAGCCCCTTGTCCTTTCCTACTTCAGGACTCTCCCAAGCTCAGACCCTTCCCCCTCTCTCATTTTTTTAAACGCCCAAATCATCTCTGCACAAATCAGAATGGAGCCCTGTTCTTTCCTCTACCATCAGCAGTCACTGGATAGAATGAGCTCCACCCACTTCACTGATGTCTAGATGTATTTACCTTTGATGATACTAGACAAGGAAGTTCAGGAGAGAAGAAAATAGAATTAAGGGAGCCACTTCCATAAGACTCCAGTGCTTGCATCAACCATGCGGGAAATTTATTTCTTTATTGATTTCAAGGCAGATGATTTTCAACCATTTAGATACTGCAATTATTGCATACAGAATATTGTATTTTAAAATACAATAAATATGTGCCTTCATTTACAATGCTTAACATAAGTGATAAAATTTCATTCAATTTTCTATAAAAAGATATAGTTGATATAGTTACATAAACCTCAGAATCACTATGCTGATCTGTTTAAAATTAGTGTTTTTCCTGTTTGAAATGTAAAAACATTAATATTTCTTATCATAGTAGGTTACAAAAGAAGTTATTTTTAGAATAGAAATAAAATTTCAGGTAAATGAAACACTGATTTGATTAAACCAAAGTGGCTTCTGTAATTTCTATACACCACGCTTGTTCTGAAAAAGTGTAAGGTCGTAAAGATAAGCCATTTCTTTACAAAAATAAATAAATACTCATTCTCAGGCCCAGACAAGGCACTGAAACAATCCATTGTGAGAAACCACTCCCTGCTTTGATCACATGCAATGGACCAGACTAAGAACCAGGAGTACAGCAAAAGGGAGACTTCATTACTCTATCTTGCAAGAGCAGGTGCCAGTCTAACAGGAAGACAGGCACACCTGGCGTGGTTAGAGAGCTCAGTTTATCCCCTGGCATGCAGTTCTCTTCCCATAGTTCCTCACTGGCTGAGTACTGTGGGACCTGCGATCTTCCCAGATGCTGCCTAGATTTTAGATCTTTGGCCTTCTCCCTCTGGAAACAATTTGTGGATATAAAGGTAAATGATTAAGCCACAGGTGGGTACATTTTTGGGAGTTTGCTTGCTTTTTGGTTTTCTGGAGATAGAGTCTTATTATGTATTCCAAGCTGACCTTGAACTCACCATGTAGTCCAGGCTGGCCACAGACTTACAGAGATGGTCCTGCCTCAGCCTCCTGACTGGTGGAATTATAGGTATGTACCACCATCCCCCTGCCACAGGTGGGTGATTACCAGTACTTTTCCAATCAGAGTTAGCATCATGAAGCCAGCTTTAATGACTATCTACACCTTTCCACTAAACAAAGGTCCCCTTTGTTTAGGAAACTTTCAGAAGCATGACCTCAGTCATGTCCGCTGGCAAGGAGAAGGTTTGTATACTAGTAGCTTTCCATTCAGAGTGAAAATGAGCCTCTTTGAGTGTCTATTTTATACACCAGTAACAGGTCAGCTCCTGGAAGGATGTTCTGAAAAGCTTAGGATGGAAGCCTAGAGGGTGAGCTGAAGACACTCAGGAACCTGTGTGGGCTACATGAAAAACTGGGCAGTTCCTGTTCACAGTAGCTAAGATATGGGATCAGCCTGGGTGACCAACAGTACACAAATGAATACAAATGCGACATAAACAACTCAATGGGCATTACTAAACCACAAGGTAGACTAAACTCCTTATACTTGCAGGATGTCCTCCAGGACAGAGCTGGAACACATCATGTTGAAAAGCGGGAGTTGGGGGGATATAAGGTGTTTTTCCAAATTTGCCTGAAGGTGCCATCAGAGCTCCAATGGTTGGGGCCTGGTTATCTTGCTAGGGAAGTTTCCAGACTGCACAATGACTAGTGAGGACCTTCGTTCTCAGGCAGAGCGTGGAGCCGGGAGGCCAGGTACGACTGAAGGTCTTAGGACCCTGGTAAGTGGACACTATAGCAAGAGGGAAGAGCAGCTTGGAGAAGCTCCAGGAGGAGCGCTAACAACCCTTCTCACCCACCACCAACACCGCCACAGGTCCTCCCTCCAGACAGACTAAGGTGTAGGGGAGTAAGCGGCACCTCCCAAAAAAGGTTTGGCTGTTACTTTTGTCAGCATATAGCATTTCAGACTTTTTTCTTCAGGTGCAGCGTGGCTGGAAAGTTTTGCTCTCTTCAGACTTTTTAAAAGTTGATACAGGACCAGGGATTTAGTTCAGTGGCTCAAGCGCTTGCCTGCTAAGTGCGAGGTTCTGAGTTCAATCCCTGGTACCAAATTTTAAAAAAGAGGGGACCCAGGGATTTAGCTCAGCGGCACAAGCGCCTGTCTGGCAAGCATGAGGTCATGAGTTCGATCCCCAGCACCAAAAAAAAGTGACACAAAGAAAGAGACCAAGATGGCAGAGCAGTAAGTAGCAGAGAAAACAACCTCTCTGAGAGTCACCATTCAGACACTGGAATACAGCATCATGAGGAAGACGAGAAGGAAGGAAGTGGGTCCTCTGGACCCTGGAAGAATCTAAGGTGTGAACGGAAGCCCACAGAGAGTGGAGAGAAAAACTCCAAAGAAAAAGAAAGTGGTATCTGGCAACAGCTTCTGTCCAAAATGGGACTCTCTCTGTGAGAGGAACGGTTTGAACTGGTAGATGCATGGTGATGGTGATGGTGATGGCTGGCAACCCCAGAGGTCTCTGCAGAGAGGCATGGAGGGGAGGGCAGCAGCAGACATGGAAGGCTGCCCTGGCTGGCAGTAAGGGCAGAGGACTTGGTCCTCCAGTGGTGAGAGCAATTATCCAGGAGTCATTCTGGAGACAGGCCAGCTGAACTCAGAACCCAGAATTGCTACTGGCTTTATCAAGAAGCTCCCAGTTGGGTGAAGCCCTGTGGGAACTGCTTGGACTGTGGCAAGCCCAACGAGTGGTCTCAGGGCAGGCCTGCTGAGATGATCCACTACCCCATCAAAAAGCTACTGCTGGCTTGCTGGGATAGATAGGCACAACTGGGGACTCATCTCCACAGGTTGTCAACTAGTGAAAGCTAAGAGAATCCTGGAAGTGGACTGGTTGTTTTTCATTTCTTTTTCTTTTTTTTTATTTCTCTATCATTGCTTTTATAGGAGTATAAATACGATTCTTAGCCTCTTTGTGGATATAGTTCTGTTCTTTTTATCTCTTTCAGCTATCTTTTCCTTCAGTCTTCTGCTAGTTTCTTTTTTCTTTTTCTTTTTCTTTCTTTCTTTTTTTTTTTTTTTTTTTTTTTTTTTTTTTTTTTTAGGTTAAGAGCAGAAGTATTTATTGAGAGAAAGAAAGCTTCTGTCTGAGAGAGACAGGAGTCCCGACTGGGTTGCCCTTCTGCTAGTTTCTGTGAGTTGGCGTGATCCACCTTTGTCCTCCAACCTTATTTCTAATTCTTTCCCTTCTTCCACTTCTCTATTTTCTCCTTAATCCATTTTAAATTTGAACCTTCAAGGGCAAAAATGACACATTACAGACATACATTGCATATAATTATCTGGTTTGTTTTACATTTTGCTATGTAATAACAAATCTAGTTCATATGGTTAAAAGTGGAAAATTACAAGGATTACCTCACTTTGTTGTTTTCAAGGCTAATATTTCATGTTATTGATACCACAACAGCCAAAATTGACAATCGTTCTAAATAGCTAGTGATCCTGGTATTCCATGAATTAGAGTAACTAAGGGTCACAGAAAATACTGTGGCACAGTGCCAAACAACCAAGGACTAGGACAAAGGAGGAACAACTTCTCATCTCCAAGAAACTGAAGGGGTAAGAACTTCCAACAGAATCAAATCTCAAAAACAGCTATCCCTGGAAGATACCTCGGAGAAGTGATTATCATCTAAGGGTCCTAAATACTAAAAATAAAGCAACCTGCAATAGGCAACTTAGGAGCATTACCCCAGGAACTAAATGAAAAAAGAGAAAAAGGAAAAGGAGGAGACATTTAAGCAAAATGGAACCCTAGACATCCAGCTCACCAAATGAAAATCCAGGGGCAATGAGGTGGGACAATCCAAAAGCCCCACCAGTTCTCTCTGAAGTGGGACCAACAAAGCAATTGAATGAGGCTCTGGGAAAAATGAAACCAGAAATAATCTCTCAGATAGCTACAGAGATTATCAAAACACACACCATGCTTAGCAACTTTAGAGAAGACACAGAAGAAAATGATGGAAGCTCAGCAGAGGAAAGAAATGGAATCAAAGCAGATACAAGCAGATATCCAGGAAAGTAAAACCTCCATTGAAAATATTTGAAGATCAGGTCAATGTGAGGACAAGAGCTCAGATATTGAAGACAGGCTTGCAGCTAGCAACAAGAATAAGAAAGAGTTCTCAAAAATAACAAGGGATCATGAAAAATCAATACAGCAGCTGCTAGATGAGACAAAGAAGAGTAACTTGAGATTAACTGGAGTCAGTGAACAAGGAAGAGATACCACAAATGACATTTTTAAAATGTTTTCAGACATTTTTAAAATGCATGCAATTAGGAATGGAAAGGTTGAAATCACAACAGACCATGCAAAAATCCAGAAGATCATCTATATCTACTCTGAAAACTTGTATTCTAGCAAAATGGAAACTACAGAAGAAATGGAGTGACTCCTAGATATATATGAATTGCCAAAGCAGAATCAAGAAAATATAAAAATTGTAAATAACCCAATATCAATCAATGAAATGAAAGATGTAATTAAAACTATCACGAAAGAAAAGTCAAGGCCCTGATGGATTCACCGTTGAATTCTACAAGAAATTTGGAGAAGACCTAACACCACTACTTCTCAAAATTCTTCATGAAATTGAAAGGAAAATAATACCCCCCAAATTCACTCTTGGAAGCAAGCATTACCTTGATACCTAAACCATAGAAGGACCCAATTAAGAAAGACAATTACGGGAATGGGGATTTAGCTCAGCAGCATAAGTGCCTGTCTTGCAAGCAGGTAGTCGTGAGTTCAATCCCCGGTACTGATAAAAAGGAAAAAGACAAAAAAAAAAAAAAAAAAAAAGAAAGAAAGACAATTACAGGCCAGACTCCCTAATGAATATTGGTGCAGAAGTTCTTAATAAGATACTAGTAAAGAGAATGCAGCAAATTGCTGAGAACATTATATACCATGATTGAGTGGGATTCATCCCATGGATGCAGGAGTGGTTCAACATACATAAATCCACAAATGCAATGCAACATATTAACAGAGTCAATGACAAAAATCATATTACCATCTCAAGAGACGCAGAAAAAGCTTTTGACAAACTCTAGCAGCCATTCATGATAAAAAAAATCCTACAGATAACTGGAATAGATTATCTCATTCTAATAAAAGGCATCTATGACAAATCAACAGACAACATCATACTACATGGACAAAACCTGAAAACTATCTAAAATCAGGAACAAAACAAGGATGTCCATGTCTCTACTCTTATTCAACATAGCCCTAGAAACTTTAGCTGGAGCAGTTAGACATGAGAAAGAAACAAAAAGAATAAAGAAAGGAAAGGAAGAAGTTAAACTGTCATTATCTGCAGATGATGTGATACTCTACATAGAAGACCCCAAAATCTTCATCAAAAGACTCCTTCATCAAAAGACTAGATTGGGCTGGGGATTTAGCTCAGTGGCATAAGCACCTGCCTTGCAAGGTCAGTTCAATCCCCGGTACCAATAAAAATGAAAAAAAAGACTACTTGATTTAATATGCAAATTCAGTAATGTAGCTGGATACAAAGTCAACACTCAAAAATCAGTGGGCTTCCTGTACACAAACAACAAATTCACTGATAGATAAATCAAGGAAAAAACACCTTTCACAATAGCATCCAAAAAAATGAAATACCTAGGAATCAAACTAACAAAGGATGTAAAAGACCTCTACAATGAAAACTACTCTGGGGACTGGGGATTTAGCTCAGCGGCATAAGCACCTGCCTTGCAAGCAGGCAGTCGTGAGTTCGATCCCTGGTACCAATAAAAACAAGAAAGACAAAAAAAAAAAAAAGAAAGAAAAGAAAACTACTCTGAAAAAGGAGATTGAAGAGGATATTAGAAAATGGAGCAATATCTCATGCTCCTGGTTATAAAGAACCAATACAGAGAAAATGACCATATTTCTAAAACTGGTATACAGATTCAGTACAATCCCAATCAAAATTCCAGTAGCATATCTCACAGAATTAGAGAAAACAATCCTAAAATTCATCTGGAACCAGAAGAGACCTAGAATAGAAAAGGCAATCCTGGACAACAATAACAAGACAGGAGGCATCACAGTTCCTGACTTGAAATTACACAACAAAGCCACTGTGATGAAAGCAGCATGGTACTGGGGAAAAAAAAAACAGAACTGAAGATCAATGGAACAGATTAGAAAATGCAGAAACAATTCCAGATACACCAATAAATGGTGCTGGAAAAACTGGCTCTCTACATGCTGAAAATTAAAACTGGAACCATATATTTCTTTCTTTCTTTCTTTCTTTCTTTCTTTCTTTCTTTCTTTCTTTGGCCTTTTTGAGACAGGGTCTCGCTGTGCAGTTCAGGCTGGCTTTGAGCTACTTTGTAGCCTAGGCTGGTCTCGAACTCACAACAATCCTCCTGCCTCAGCCTCCCGAGTGCTGGGATTACAGGCGTGAGCCACCACGCCCGGCTTGGAACCATATATTTCATCATGTGCAAAGTCAAAATCAGAATGGATCAACGATCTGAATGTTAAAACAGAAACATTAAATTTTCTGGAAGACAGAGTAGGTAAAACTCTTGAAGACATTGGTGAAGCCAAAGACTTTAGGAACAAAACCCTGAGTGCACAGAAACTATCACAAAGAATCAAGCATCCTATTTTATTGAAAATCTTTTGCATAGCAAAAGAAACCACCAACAGAGTGAAGAGACAACACACAAGGTAGAAGAAAATGTTTGCCAGCTGTACCTCAGATAAAGGATTATTATTAAGAACATATATAGAACTCAAAAAAAATCAACCCTCTGAGATTTAAGACCCAGTCAAAAAATGGGCATCTGAGATGAATACATTCTTCTCAGATAAAGAAACACAAACAGCAAATAAATATGAAAAAAAAAATGTTCAGCATCACTGGCTATTTGAGAGATGCAAATTAAAACAATACTGCAATTCCACCTCACCCCAGAAAGAATGGCCACTATCAAGAAATCAACCAATAAAAAGTACTGGAGAGGCTGTGGGAGAAAAGGAACCTTTTCTACTGTTGGTGGGAGGGTAGACCAGTGCAACCACTGTGGAAATCAGTGTGGAGATTCCTCAAAAAACTAGGACTAGAAGTCTCATTCAATCCAGTTTTTCCCCTTTTTGGTATCTTCCCAAGAGAATTAAAAACATCATACCACAGTGATGTATGCACACTCATATTTATAGCAGCACCATTTGTAATAGATCTTGTAAACAAACTAAATGCCCATTGTCTGAGGAATGGATAAAAAAGATGTGGTATTTTTACACAATGGAGTACTACTCAGCCACAAAAAAGGATAAACTAGAGACTTTTATGGGTAAATGGATGAAACTTGAGAACATACGCATAAGTGAAATAAATCAGACACACATGCAAACATCATGTTTTTTCCCTAGTGTGAGAAGCTGAAACTTATATGTATATGTAGATATAGATGTATATAAAAATAGCTAAGATATTTATACTACTGATTTCTCTGAGTTCACCAAAGAGAGAGATTTGTGTTGGTATTGTTCAGACAATTGAATGCAGATGTCCTGTGCTCTGGGTGAATGATTTGAGGAAGATTATGCACAATGTATGTACCATTGCTGCCCCTGACTGATGTGTTTTGAAACTTTTATTTCTCTTTGAAATAAAATGGATTTGAAAAAAAAAACAGAAAAAATAAAAAATGATACCAGCCCATGTTTAAAAAGTAGAAAAACACGAAGATTAAAGGGGAAAAATAACTAACCTGCCCAAAAATGCTTATTTTAGGTGTGGCCAGTTTTTTGTTTTTTTGCATATTCTTCTAAAATATGTCAATAGTGGCTTCTCTGCACCTCAGCATTTCCTCTAAACAATAGGGATAATAAAACATCATGAGATGCTTGTGAGGGGTAGGTAAGCTGATCTTTGTAACACAGTGGAAGCTTTATTTTTTTATTTTTTTGATACCGGGAATTGAACTCATGACCTTGTGCTTGCCAAGCAGCTTACACCACTGAGCTAAATCCCCAGCTAACACAGTGGAAGCTTTAAATGTACAAGCCTTCCTGTTCTTTTTCTCCCACTATTGAGGATTGAACCCAGGGCCTTCACTGAGCTGTATCATCAGCCGCTTTTTCATTTTTTATTTAAGACAGAATCTCACTAAGTCACTGAATTGCTAACATAGCTCTGACCTACAATCTTTTGCCTCAGCCTCTACCGTGCTGGCATTACAGGCTTTCCCATTTTTTTTTTCACAAAGTCATCACATTAAAAGGCTTTCCCATTTTTGACAAGCCATTTTGCTCTTTGTCTCTAGATCTATTTTCAGGAGACCGTTCCTCCTCTTACACATCAGTGGGCTTCCTTTTGAAAACCAGCTGAGCATACTGTTGTGTGATGGACTAATTTATTTAATTGGTTCCCAGTTAGGACAGTCTGGGTGTTTCTGGTCTCTGGCACCCACGGGCATTTACTATGACAATCCTGAGCATCTCTTGGGTCATTTCCTCAAACAGAAGTCATGAGAAATGTGCATTTAGACCTCAAATAAATTTCCTACTTACCTCCAGAGCGGTCCTGACTAGAACACACCCAGCCTCTGCAGAAAGGTTCTCCTTCCCTTGCCCTGAAGAGGCCTGGTTCCAAACCTAAAAATAACCCATCTTCAGTTTCAAACTATTAGAAATGAAATTCAACAAGGTGAAAAAAGACCCCAGTGTTAGTTTTCTGCTACTGAAAAAAACACTTTTTGATAACAAGGAAAAGTGCATTTCAGCTCAGTTTCAGGAGTTTCAATGTCTGGTCAACTGACTCCATTGCTTTTAGGTCTGAGGGGGAAGAAACATCATGGTGTGAACGCAAGGCAAAGAAAACTCCTCACCACAAGACAGGCCGAGCACTGTGTCCGCAGACAGGCTCCTTCTGCTTTTGTTCTAGCCAAGCTCCAGCCCATTGCATGGTAGGTACCAACTTTCAGAGGAGGTTTCCTCCTAGGGTCCTACCTGCCAATCATCTCCGTCCCACAGACGCCTCCAGAAGTTTATTTGACTAATTTGCTAGGCATTTCTCGGTCCCATCAAACTGACAAGACAAGTCATCACAACGCTTTATAAGACATCAGTAGCCAACATCTTGGTGTAGACCATTCAGGTTTTAAATAGAGAATGCCTTATTTTTTATGTTACATGGTACACCCGAACTTTGTTCTCTGTTATATAATTTTAACCCAAGGATTCATTTACACTCCTACACCTTCTGCAACGCAAGGGCCTTCTATCTTGTTTGTGCTCCAATTTATAAGTGAGGCAAGATCAGGTGGTTTGTCGGAGTAGTCAGACTCAGCAGCTTAATGTGCCCTGCGGAAGGGATTCTACAAAAATTTTGTCCCAGGACACCTGCCTGCGAGGACCTCTGTACAGTAGCATCTGCTACCTCTTCCACAGTCCCCGCCCCGGGCCCACCCCTCCATCCCTCAGCCGTGACCCCACCTGTGCCCGGAAGCCTCTAATGCCCAACAGCTCTGTGTCCAGCCTCCCTTCCTGACGCTTCTAGTGGCCACCGAGGTCAGGTCTGGCCAGTCACCTGGACACCTACTGGGACAGGGCAGTTCCCTCAGGTTTGGTCACACAGGTGACTCCTGGACATTGGGCTCCCGGAGTGGAGCCAAGGACCTGGCTGACTGCAGTGGCCTGTTCTGGCCTGGCTGGGTGGCCTCTACCTGTGCATCCTCTTGGCCGTGGGGATCATGCAGAATGGAGCTACTGGGCAGGACATGAGTTCCAGGGTCACTCTGTGGCTGTTGACATGGCAGTGACACCTGGGATCCCCACAGGTAAGGGGAGCAGGTCAGGACCCTCAAGGTTCCTGTCCTCTCATCTGCCCGAGGTCACGTTCCTCAGGTCCTGGCAGACCCTGGAGCCAGGGACACACATGAAGAGCTGAGTTCTGGGAGAGCAAGGCCACCGGTGGCTGGCACTGCGAGCCTAGGGAGGGCAGAGTAGTCCCTGGTGGAGCACCACACAGGTCAGCTTTGTTTACAGACCTGGCTCCTTATCATGCTGACTCAACAATCCCAATCTTCCTTTCACCCATGCACCCTCTGGGCAGCTGTGTTTACGCTCACCCAGCGTGCGTGGAGAGGCCTGGGCCTACCTCAGGCCCCCAGGAGCTCATCGTGCCCCTCTGGTGATCTAGGACAGTGACATGGAGTCTGGAAGCAGCCCACTTACCACACATGTGCTAGACACGACGTCTGGGCTCCCAGCTGGTGGCCTCGGCCTCCATTTGTCCCAGCTGACAGGCCTTGGCCAGCAGTGGACAGAGCTGAAGAAAAGGTAGGAGGCCCTGAGAAGGGCTGGGAATCCACAGCACCTGCTCACGCATGCAGGGCTCTTCCTGTGTCCCCCCCCCCCCCGCCCCCAGGACAGTTAAGGAGCACAGGCACTGAGGGTAAAGAGCAGGGCTGCTTGCTGCCAAACTGTCCCCTTGGGGCCCTCCCTTGGCTTCACAGCCTGGCCTCTCCCTACTGAATCTGTGTCTCAGTTTTCTCATCTGAAGAGCGAATTGAAAGTAGCTGTTTCACTAGGTGCACGGCCCTGGGGACCCCATAGCACTTGTGAGATAGCACTGGCCCACATGTTGCTTCCTGCAGCCTCACAGCCCCATGAACCTCAAAGTTGGGAGCCAAATTTGTGTCCCTCTTTGACAGCCATGCCCACATCCTGTGGGAGCTTAAGGCCTGACATGGAACCTAACAAACATCACTGTCACCACAATTTACAGGCAATCTTGGACTAGGCAGCACAATGAGCACTCTTTTTCTACTTTCCAGTCTCCATATGGCCCTTTGGGCAGGCACCATAATCACCCATTTTACAGATGGGAAGACTGAGGCAGCAGAAACAAGGGGGAAGTTGGGATTCCAGGTCAGACCCATAGAGCACTAGGCTCTTCGGTTTCCCTGTATTCACAGGACCTAGACCCTGGGTCCCCTTCCCTTGCTGCTGCCTTGGGAACAGACTGCTGGAGAGGCCCTTGAGTTGGTCCTATGAGCAAGTCCCCAGACTCTCCTTCCTCAAGGAGGCAGGCTCCCCCTGTGGTTTTTCTGCCCCAGAGTAAAGAGGGAATACGTTGGGAACCTGTGGTTGAGCCCCAAATATTCAGGCCCAGGAGTTTCACAAAGGGTTCAGACAGGTTCCCACCCCAACATGACACACGTGCATTCCCAGCTCTTTTGTCCAGCCAGTTGGAATGTCACGAGGCTTTTTCAGTCCTAAGGGAGCAGAACTCTAGATGAGACATTAACCAACTCTACATGGAGCCTCGGTAGAGCTAGATACAGCTGGGTGCAAATACTGGCCAGAAAGCCAGGCACAATAAGCCATGTGAAAAACTGCACTTATGCAACAGCACAAATACAGTGTTATGTTTTGTGAAAAAAAAACATAAAACTGTAAATAAATATACCTAAAGCATAGAGAAAATCTAGAAAAATACATGTCAAATATAAAAGTGATTACTGCTCATAGAATACTGTGCATTTTTCTCTTTGCTTCTGTGTTAATTTTCAGGATACAGCAGTGTCCCTAGAGACTACCCCATCTCTCTCTTCACCCATGTATCAGGCTGCGGGGAAGATCTGAGGCCACTGGGGGGTACAGACCCAGGAGAGTTGGGGTACGGTGGCTCCTTGTCCCATCTCTACAGCCCTGTCCTCTTTCTAGCCACACAGACATGGATGGCCGCTGCCCTGGGCTTCTGAAGCCAGGCCAGCTGCAGCCAGGCACCTACAAGCTGTCCTTTGACACTGAGGGCTACTGGAAGAAGAGAGGGCAGGAGAGCTTCTACCCATACATAGAGGTAAGGGCCACAGGTGGGCAGAGGGGGGTTAAGGCCAAAAGTATAAACAGACTGCTCCCACCTATTCCAAGAAGTGGCAAATAGGCAGACTCACCTGCTTTTCAACTCCCAAAAGAAAGGGGTCCAGGGATTTGAGGCATCATTAGACATCATGACCACGTGTGTATTCCTGGGCTGTCCCTGGCTTAGGGTGACTCATCCCCACTTCTGTAAATGGTTTTCCCCTGAGCCCAGACTTTAGCTCACTGGGCTGTACCCTGCTGACTCCCCATTCACTTGAAGCCACCAGCAAAGAACCTGACATTTTTTCACATACAGCAGGCTCAGTTCCTCCCTAGCAATGTTCCAGTCTACCATCAGGCTCCACCTGACCCAGCCTCACAGTCCGGGTCTCAGAACTCTCCCAGGAAGCACTGGGGCACAGCTTGGGTGCTGTGATCTCTCCCTGTCTTCTGTTTCTCTCAGGTTGTTTTCACCATCACAAATGAGAGCCAGAAGTTCCACGTGCCCCTGCTGCTGAGCCCATGGTCATACACCACCTACCGAGGGAGCTAGAGCTGAGCCAGCCTAACACAGGCCACCTGCCCCTCCCTTACTCTGAGCCACCTGCGCAGTGCTCCAGAGTGGGCTTCATGATCATTGTGAGGCACTGAGGTCACCCACTTCCTTGGGAGGGTGTGGTCTGCTGTTTTTCAGTGGGCAGCTGTGACTTCAGTGTCAATAAAGTCAGTGCTGACACCTGCAAAGCAATCCCATCGCAGTGACAGGAGCTTTGTGTGGGGGGATAGAAGCAATCTATGGGTGGCCAGAGCTCTGCTACCACTGCCCAGGTCCCAAGTGAGTAAGGGGCCCTCACAGGGGCCACGGAAGTCAGGGGCAGGACTGGGAAGGGTGTCACAGCATGGACACACCCAGGAAGGAGGCAGACTGTGATGCTAGGGGTGGAGCCCTGTAGGTACGCTCCACAAAGACAGCCAAGAGAACACAAAGGAACCAGAGAAAGACTCATTTGCTGTTGAGGAAATATAAAGTTTGCTGTCAAGGTGTAAAAGAAGGGGTGTCAGTTGGGTAGTGGTGATGGCGTCGTACACAACAAAATCAAACCAAACAGAATATAACCCAGCCCAACAAAACTTCAAAACAACATACTAGTAAATTAACAATGCCCACCACCTTCAGGATACCCCCACTAGATGCCACACTGCACATCGTTAGTCTCTGAATAGATGATCTGATCACTGGCCCTAGACCTACAAAGTCAGTGAAACACCAAACACCACAGCATCAAATGGCATTTCACCTGAACAGCTGTCACCTCAGCCTGCATTTCTCCAGATCAGCAAGGCACTTACGGCAGGGGCGGGGTGCAGAGGGGTTGGCTCTTGTTTCCCAGCCCAAATGCAAGTAGTTACAGTCTGGCTGTCCCTGTGCTGGTGGCCCGCACACGGTGCTGGATTGCAGGGAGGGCTGGTTTCTTTTCTACACACTATTTTTTTTTGTTAAAAACAAAAAAATCTGTGATAATGTGGTCACATGATTCAAGTTTAAAAATCTATGAATGGCTTTCAGTGACATTTGTTCCATTGTGAAATTGGCTGCCCACTTGTCAACTGCATCTTCACTTATTATTTTAATTAAAAAAATTTTTTTTGATGCAGGATTTTGCTATGTAGTGCAGCCTGACATTGAACTCATGACGTAGCACAGTCTGGCCTTGAACTCACGGCAACTCCCCTGCCTGGGCCTCCTGAGTGCTGGGATTATAGGCATGTGTCACCACACGAGAATGCATCTGCACTTCTTGCTAGGCCAGTTTCTTTGTGGAGATGCAGGCAGTATGGTGTACATTTCCATTTCCACATCCTGTCTTGCTGAGGGCCTGGATCTGCAGGGCCTAGCCCCTCGATGCCTCACATGGTGAGGCCGCTGGTGCTCCTGCCTGAGGGGCACTGCAGGTACCAGACCGAGAACCAGACCCAACTGCCACCAACAGACGATGGCCAGTGAAGCCCCTCAAACCCTCACCTGCCCAACACGAGAAGAGTCCTTACAGAGAGACATTATCACTTCACTGGAAGGTTCCTTACCCATAAAACAAGGTAACAATGACCAGGAAAGGCAAAACTGGCTCACGTTCAATGCCAACTGCCCCCTGACCATGGCGGCTATGACTGACTCTTACCAACAGGAAAGCACCTGCTAACAAAGGAGAGGAATTCAGCAGAGAACTCACAACCAGAACCGCGCTGTCCCTTTCCTAGCTTCCAAGCTTTTCCTGCATGTAGTTTCTCTTGTCCTGCACCTCCTGGAGGGGCTCTGCCAGGCACCTGTTCTGCAGACACCTCTGCCACCCTCCTCCTGCAAGTGCTCTTCCTTCTTGCACACATCCTATCCGTTCTTGCTGGCACAGTGCAGGTACAAGGGGTGTCAGGGCGTAGGTGCAGGCTGCCACCTCCCTGCCTGCCAGCCTCCCACATGCTAAGAACCTAGGCTCGTTTATGTACAAATATTTTTGCAGTCTTAACTCATTCTGGGTTTCCTAGGAATACAATAGCTTCTTTGCAATGCTACTGAGTTATACCCACTAAGTCGAGGCTGACCTGCTCCAGACATATGGCAAACATGAACATTTTTCTGAACTCAGCAGCTAGGCAGATGCTTGCAAATCTAACGACAGACTCATCTTTCTTTTCCAAATCCCTGAAAGGCTCCAACTCACAAAGGGTCAAAACTACCATCACCATGGACTTCATTCGGAGTGTTGGCCCACCTATCCAGCTCAGTTATTCTTTATTCCTCCAAATCCTGGGCCTTCCCAGTGGCCTACTCCTTCTCAGACCTAACTCTAACCCACATTAGATTCAGACCAAATCTAAACCCTAACTCTAACCCAACCCTAACCCCAATCTGAACCCAAACATGCACTCGAACTGTAACCCTAATCCTATCCCCAAACCTAATCTTTATCTCTAACTCATTTTATTTTATTTTTCTTTTTGAGACAGGGTCTCACTATGCAGTTCAGGCTGGCCTTGGGCTCACTTTGTAGCCCAGGCTGGTCTCGAACTCACAACTATCCTCCTGCTTCAGCCTCCCGAGTGCTGGGATTACAGGCGTGAGCCACCACACCCGGCTTTTTAATTTAATTTTTGTATCTCTAACTCATGATCTACCCCTGGCGTCTCCTTTTCTCAGCCTTCCAAACTCCTAGTACCAGAGGTAAGGAAAAAATGTCAAAGTGACCATGGGAAATGATGGGAAAAAGCAGCAGTCGATAATACAATCCAAAGGCAGAGTGAACAATGGTGAAATAACCCAACAATTAGTCTTTTAGCTGTGATAAGGGAGGGGTACACAGAGGCATCTCAGCAGAGACAGACTTAAATACAAAATTTAGTGGAAGATGTTCACTGTAATCTAAATGAAGTACTTTGATGGGCACACATCAAGGACTGTACACTGGATTCAATGTCAGGTCTGAACTGTGAAGTAGACCAGGATACTGTTTCCCTGGAAACCAGTTAGAATGCAGAACTCAGGGTCCCAGCGATACTTATCTGAAGCTCTGAGTCTAGGCTGTAAATCAACAAACCCTGCTGAGTTCTGGATGTGTCCTTTTTACTAATGACTCTTATGATTTTAACAAATAAGGTAACATTGTAACAGGAGACACTCAAAGGAGGCATCTGCATGGGACTTCCATCTGCTTGGAGGAAATCTATTCCTATTAACAATCCTGGCTTTATCTGAATCCCTTACTTGGCTAATGAGTAACAGGATGGTCACTGACTTCGCACATGAAGCTGATGCTTACTCTTCCAGAGGCCAGTCATGCTAAGATCTGGAAGAAGAGCAATCCAAGCAAAACAAACAGCAAAGCTGAAGACCCTGAGGAAGGGTTAAGTTTGGTTACCTCAGGAACAAAAAGGAACCAGCAAGGCTGGAACACAGGGATACACTACAGGCCTTATGTAGGGCCTTATAACATTGGCCTTCATATTGTACTACAGGTACACTGAAGTCAGTGACCTAAAGAAACATCTGAAATACATTAAGGATCACTCTGGCTGCAATGAAGAGAGGAGGTGAGTCAAGAGTAAGAAAGATTCAACATCAGCTCCACACAATAGTAAAAATAGGTCAAAACTTTTAAAGAAAATACAGATCAGAAAAGGCAGAGCTGACCTACCAGTTGAAATACTGAACACATGGTGTCAAGAATGACAGGTCTGGGGCTGGGGATTTAGCTCAGCGGCATAAGCGCCTGCCTTGCTAGCAGGCAGTCGTGAGTTCGATCCCTGGTACCAATAAAAACCAAACACACACACACACACACACACACACACACACACACACACACAAAGAATGACAGGTCTGTGGCTTAATCAGCTAAATGAGGCAGCAGTGTCAGTGTATAAAAAGCAGGGGACAGAAGACCGGAGCCTAGTTAGGGGTTCTGCACATGTAGTTTGGTTTGCCCATGAAACATCCATCAGAGATATCAAGTAGACAGATGGGCTCCAGGTCCCATCTAGTTGGAATACAAGCTTGGCAAACACCAGCAAAGATCATGCTGCTCAGGAGGTCTCCCCAGGTCTCCTAGATCACATGGAAATCAAAACTAATTGAAACAGAGGGTCTGGGACTGACACCTAAAGCAGCCAACATTTAGATGGTAGTCCACCAAGGCTTAATCCAGGTCTCTGGCTAGAATTAAAAAGGATCCCTGGCTCCTAAGAACTGAGCTTGACCTGGTGGAGGACAAGCTGGTACCCTGAAGATGACACCTGCTCAGAAAAAAAGGTAATATGGACAAAGGACCAAGGATTGGGGTGAGAACCCAGACCCAGCAGTGCCCGACTCCTATTTGTATTTATTATTAAATAGACAGCACATTCTTTCATGCATTATTCATTTTTATAACAATAATACATTAAAATGCATAAAACACTGGACAAGCATCCTTTCAAACGTGAGTCCAGTGTACAATTACTTAGCTTTCCCACAAGTCTCATCACCAACAGCTATTTAAATCCAGGTATATGAGTACTATATTCTTCATACAACACACATCAGCTTATTGTAGATTTTTATAAATGTACCTCTGCCTCTTCTGGCAGATGGGAGATTTTATTACAAAACCTACAAATGGGGTCTTGTGCTCATCAGACAGTCTCAGATCTGCCCAACTGCCACAGATCACAGAACCACAGACAGTGCAATCCCACGTACATTGACAGGGAATTGCTGGAAAGGTCCTGACCTTAAAATAAACCCTGTTCAAAATAAACTGTTTCAAGATGGGAAAGAGGCTAAAAGAAATTGAACCTAAACTCTTCATCAGGAGTACCAAGGTTGGCCTTGGCTCGCCCTCCTGGACGCGGCCTGCAGACCCTTCGGCTCTTCTTCCTGGCAGATTCACCTACAGGCTGCATCCGGGCTGAATGAGCAGCTGTCAGGGGAAGAGGAAGAAGAATCAGAACTGAAAAATAACAGCTAACATTACCCATGCAGTTAAGATGGTCCACAGAGCTCTAATCCCTTTGAACAATTCAGAATCAACTACTCAGAAGTATTAGGTACTACATCACAACTACCCCTCATTTAGGATCAGTGAGGTCAAATAAACTTGCCAAAACCATTAAGCTCTAAGCAGTAGATGCTGGACTTGAACCCATGTTGTTTGGCTTTAGGAGTTACACTCAAACTGTTATAGCATCTGGCCTCCTGGATAGCACAGCTTTCCCCATCCCACAAACAGAATCAGAAGACCAGGCTCCTTCTACCCCTGCTCTCACCCCAGGACCTTTCCCCCTGAGAAATACTGTACAGACTTTTTGCTGTTAAACCTTCTCTGAGCACCATCTCCAGGCCATGCTGCCCTGGGCCTTTTCCTTCCACTTCCTAAGCACTTTCTACTTACTCCCTTAAATCAAGGAGACTGAACCAACCACTTCCCAAATATCTACTCACCTGCCCGGAGAGTTCGAAGTGCCTCTTGCCACTCAGCTTCCATCTGAGCCCTGTAGTTCCCAAACAAGGAGTACATTAGCTGCCTCTTCCGGGGCAGGGGGGTTCTTTGACTGCGCAAGGTTCGGATCGCTCCAACAGCCTGCTCTTCTGCAGATAAAAATAAAAGCTAGTGAACTCAGGTTACACTGACCCATCATCCTACTGCAAAAGCAATAATCCTATCCCTTGGCAGCACTAGGCCACAGCTCTACCACCTTTCACATTACCCCCGGCCCCACAACTACATAAAGGGCCTCTCACTCTGTTTGGGAGTGGGTCTCTGCATCTTGAGGCCAAGCTCCAACTGCTCCACGCACCACTCCAATTCCCGGGCCAGCTGCTCTGCCTGTGATGTACCAGAGGAAGTTGCTATGAGCTCAGGGCACTGAGACCCAACAGTTCCCACCTCATACCCCTTACCGCCTTAACTCTGGAGACCCTGGACCACACCCATAGGAGGACTCGACCCAGCAGCCACCCGGAGATCCCAGCCTTGCCTGGGCCTCGGCGCTCAATGGGGCTTCCTCGGGGGCTGGCCTCTCCGGAGCCTTCTCGCCTCTATTTGACACCGAGGCCCTGTTCTGGGCTTTCTTCCTCTGTTTTCTCGAAACTGCGTCGCTTTCACTGCCTACGGGGTGCGCTCTGGAGGCGACGTCAGTGCACTCGAGTTGCTCTGAGCACAGAGAGAGAGAGGAAGGGTTCGGGGCTCCGGGGACCCGGCCGGGACGCCGGGATCTGCGGCGTGCGCGGGCACTAACCGGGAGTGGGGCTGCCGGCGCCTCCGGAAGAGGACGTTCCAGAGCCTGCGGAAATGAAAACAGCATGAAGGTCACCAGAGACCGCCGGAGGCCTCAGGCCCGCAACCAGCGGCTCGCCGCGCAGCTCACCGCCATGCGTCTGAGCGGCTGCCGGAAGTTACGTAAGCCGCGAATTCCTCCCCCCCCTGCCGTATCTTCTGCTACGCACGTTACCGTAGGCTCACGGTGGGCGGGGCGGGGCGGGGCGTAAGGGAGGGGGCGGGGCCTGAGTGGCTCCAGAAAGGAGTTTGCAAGATGGCGGCCGGAGGCTGCCCCCAGCCCGCACTGTTTTTGGAGGCAGGACAGAGGTCTCAACGCAAGTTGCCTCGTAAAGTTCACTTGCTAGTGGGGAGAGAATAGCAGGTAAACATAAAAAGCTGTCGCCTGGAGTGCCGCGGGGGCAGCTTCGGGAGGGTGGTCAGCATAGACCCCACCGAGGAGAGGTTAGGCGGAGACGCGGGCCTGACGGAGCGTGGGCGTGACCGGGCCACGGGTGAGAAAGGGAAGGCGAGGGTCTTCCAGAACCCTGGAGAGCAACCCATAGTTATTTCGGTTTACTCGCCTTGAGAAGTCACTATAAATCGCAAGTGTTAATGACCCTACTCTGCCATGTTTAAACATCGTTCTGCTATTCTGTATGAATGGTGCAGGTGCGGCAGAGAAACATGCAGAAGTTTCATCGATGTGGCCATGAGGGAAACTGGGGAGTGGGAGCAGGAGGAAGCCCTAACCCACAGTCTGAGAACCCTGATGCCTTCTCCTTGGGGTGGGAGTGGGGCTTTACAACAGAGAAAAAATAAGTAAGGACTGAGGGGGGACAGAGGCTTCAAGAGGATCAGGGGTAAGGCCAATCTGGTGAAAGGTGTGAGGCATCACTTGAGACAGATGTCTGAGGTTTCTGATGACTCCTGCCAAGGAAAAGGAGTAGGAAGTATTGTTTCCTGAGACAATAAAATGGGAGTGTTTCCCCCCTCCCCTTGAGGTCTCAGGACAGAAGTCTGGTCATCAAAAAAAGCTGATGTATTAGTTAGTTATTGTAGTTTCTGAGGGTCCAGAATCTAGCAACAACATAGCTGGTGGTTCTAGCTCAGTGTCTCTCATGAAGGTGCTTCAGCTTTTAAGGAAGGAATGTCAAAAATTGTAGACATTCTAAAACCTAGTTGTGTATTCTAGTCCTGGGAGATTGGAGGTTTGGGAATGAGTGGAGTCCATATATCCAAAGGGTTTTTTTCCTGCCTTTTTTGACGGAATCACTCTATGACTTGGTCCAGAAACACCTTCCAGAAATTTTCCTAAACAGAGTCCTTCCTCTTCTCCAGCCCCTATCAGCCCACCAGATATTTCCATTTAGCTCCTAAATAATTTTCACTATCTCTGGCCTGAAGAGCTGCAAATGATTCTTCCTTGTCTGTGCATCCAGTTTCATTCTCTACTCTTTTCTGAACTACCCTAATTCTAGAATGATTTAAATAAAAACTAACCATAACCCTTGCTGCCTAAAAATCGCCCATTTCTTCCAGAATAAGTCCAGGGTCCTCACCGTCCAGCTAACAAATGCCTTACTAATTTTGCATAGGCAACTATTCGCAGACCTTGCTTTGTTCTGCCTACATTAGTCATACAGCCCTGTAGTCTCAACTCACCTCTTCCTGTACTGTTCTCTACATTCCCCAAATCATGCCAGTAACCAGTCTTTCTGATGGTCTCTTGTCACCATGGTTACTTCCCAGCCCTTGATACACATTAGTCTCCACTAAAACAGTCTTTCCTGGGCTCCCTTCCTTGATCTATTCAGGAAATATTTTGAAGTTTTCATACATACAAATATACATAGTTGATTTTTTTTCATTAGAAAAGATCGAATCCAGAGCCTCGCACATACTAGGCCAGTGTTCTACAAATGAGCTATATCTGCAGCCCTTTTTATTTTGAGACAGGACCTAAATTGCCTAGGCTGGCCTTGAATTTGCAAACTTCCTACTTAAGCTAAATAATGCAGCATAAGGGCTGGGGATTTAGCTCAGTGGCACAAGCGCCTGCCTGGCAAGTGTGAGGTTGTGAGTTTGATCCCTGGTACCACAAAAAAAAAAAAAAAAAAAAAATGCTCCATAAACGTAACTCACAGTTGATTCTTGACTTTTTAGCAGTCATTGAAAACACTGAATTAATGAATAATAAACTTTTTAAAATCTATTTTATTTCAAAAAAATAATAAAATTTCAAAACAACAATCAGGGGACAACAATGGTACATACATTGTGCATTGCCATCCCCAAATCAGTCACCTGAGGGGTAGGGGATAGAGCTCAGCGACATAGCACCTGCTCGGCAAGTGCGAGGTCCTGAGTTTAATTCCTGGTACAAAAAAAAAAAAAAAGGTCACCTAGAGTGTGAAAGGGTTTTGGCCCAGACAGGACACTAGCCAGGAAAGCCTCAACGGGAAGCAGGAAGCCCCTATCTCCCCCGCCCCTAGGAAGTTACCTGTGACGCCATCTTCCCGCCCCTGGAAATTTACATATGGCGCCAAACCTAGGACCAATGGGCTACCTGTACATACCTAATGCCCGCCTTAGGTTCCACCCCAACTGAGGCTATTTACATGCGCCCCCCCCCCACAGGAGAGATCTCCGGCTGCCAGCGGTGGGGGTGCCGGTCATCTCTCTCCGTGTTCTCAGAATAAAGGCCGCTTTTTATTTTATACTTCTCATCTTTTGGAAATACTTTTCATCTTTTGGAAATAATCCTAGCAGAGTGTAAGACATCTGCACTCAGTTTTCTGAACAATAAACAGATTTCGGCACAAATCTTTCTCTTTAATGAACTCAGAAAAATCAGTAGTATAACTGTCAACTCTATATACATATATTGTATGAATAATAAACTATTAATACTTGGGGAAATACAGTTAAGTTCCTGGGAACTTCTGGTCATAATTTTGTGTATGTTTCTATTAAAGGACATCTTATTTTATACATACTGACTCATTAGCATTGAACTCATGGCCATTAGTACTATAATTCCTATCTGTATGAAGCTGATGTCACACAGTTTCTCTATAAGGTAGGGCACTCTGTAGCTTCAAGATGAGGGCTGGTCAACAGAGAGATCAAGCCTAAATTGGAATAAGGAACATCACAGTCTTCTTGCACTTAGCAAAATTAAGTAGTGCCTACACTTGAGGTTTAATAGAATTGCCAAGTAAAACTAGAGAAATGCAAACTGTCACTAACTATAATATGAAAAGGTCCTTGTTTACACTGTGGGAGTAGAAAACTTGTTCAAACTGACAATATTCAAATCAGAAAGGGCTGGGGGTTTAGCTCAGCAGTATAAGTGCCTGCTTGGCAAACACAAGGTCGTGAGTTCAATCCTCGGTACAAAAAAAAAAAACCCAGACAGACTTTTCATCTTCTGGGCTGTTCATTAATAACCATGAAAGACATGAACTTTCCTGAATTTTAATATGGCAGTTACAGATGAATCCTACTGAGTAGGCAAATTTGCAAATATAAAATTCACAAATATGTAAGATGTATTTTGAATTTATTCTAATATTTTCCATTACTAATGTACTAGTCATGTCCCCTTTATTTAAGACAAGAATTTTAAGATTTGTGTTAGAGTTTCATTAATTCAGGGCTGGGGATATACCTCAGCAGCACAAGTGCCTGCCTGGCAAGAGCAAGGGTGTGAGTTCAATCTCCAGTAACAAACAAACAAAAAGAATTGCACTAGACCAGGGGTTTAGCTCAGCAGCATAAGTGCCTGCCTAGCAATGCAACGTTCTGAGTTCAATCCCCAGTATAAAAATAAATTACATTAACTCTACAGAGTATCTGTGAAAGAATTAGATGTTCTTCTCTGCAAAGGTGTTTCACACATTTTCACTAATGATTCTGGAGTTTATTTTTAATTGCTACATGGATTCAAATTGGGACACAAATATCTATATAAGTATGATTTAATAAGAAAAACATTTAATCTTTGTCCCTGACCCAGAGCTTAGAAGGTCCTGGGAATTTTCTGATAAGGGTGATAGGAGTAATTTTGTTCTAGAGGTGATTCTGGGCAGGGCACTCTATCACTTCAAGATGGAGGATGGTCAAGCCTAACTTGGAAGCATAGAGCTTTCAAACTCATCGAGAAGCTCAGGAGAGGGGAGAAGGGCTAGAGATTGCTAATCACTAGTAGTCACAATTAGGCCTACATAATGAAACTTCCACAAAAAGACCCTAAACAATTTCTTTTGGGGAGCTCCTGAGCTAGCAAACACATGCATGAGTGGATCCAGTTCCATGGGAACAAAGGGATCTGTTCCTGGTAACTTTTTGGCTCTTACACTATGTACCTCTTCATCTAGATGTTCTTTTGTATTCATTGTAGTAAACTGCACCAGTAAGTATATGTTATCTTGAGCTCTGTGAATCATTTTAGCAATTTTGGAACCTAGAATGAAGTGAGTTATGAGAATTCTGGACTTTTAACCAAGTCAGAAGTGTGGGCAATCTGGGTACCCAACACTTGGGTAAATTATTTTTTAAAAGGGATTTATTTTGGCTCATGGTTTTGGTCCAAGGTCAAAGGCCTCATTCTAGTGGTAACCTTGCTGTAGATTCTTGTAGCAGATTCCAAGGCAGCACATGATGAGACTCTTCTTGTCTTATTTTCCCTCTTATGAAACCTCAGGAGTCAATAATGGGATCCCATTCTGACCCCTACCAAAGACCTCCACCTCTAAACGATGATAAGTGAATTTAGTTTCCACACTGTTAATAAAGGCTTAGACTCAAACATGAGTTTTAGAGGATCAAGCCATATTCAAACCATAGCACCCCAATAGATACTTTTTTCTTTTCCCCCACCTCCTCAAGTGGTAGGGATTGAACCTAGGGCCTTCAAACTGAGCTACAGCCCTCGCCCATTTGTTTTGCTTTGTTTTTGTTGTTTTGCTTTTTTTTAAAATATATACCAGGAATCAAGCTCACCACTTCATGCCTGTCAGGCAGGTACTTATGCTGCTGAGCCAAATCTCCAGCCCCTTTGTTTTGTTTTTTGAGACAATCTCAATATGTAGTCCTGGCTGACTCTAAACTCTCTGTGTAGCTCAGGTAGGCTTCAAAGTTTCAGTGATCTTTCTGCTTCAGCCTCCCAAGTGCTGGGATTATAGGCATGCATCCCTATACCCAGCTTTGGGTAATTCTTAAATCAGACACTGAGTCAGTCACAAGTCTATACCTAAGGCCTGCAGTAAAACCTATCACAGATGAAGCAAGGAAAAGAAAGTAAGAGGGAAGCTGAGTCTCTTCTCATAGCATATTCTGCCACGGTCTCAGCTCTACAACACATTGCCTCCCATCAAATCCTACAGTCTGTCTCTCCAGTTACAGCAATAACCTCTAGGGCCGGGGATTTAGCTCAGTGGCGTAAGCATCTGTCTGGCAAGCGCTAGGTCATGAATTTGATCCTCGGTACCAAAAAAACCAAAAAACAAAAAAAAACAAACAAAAAAAAAAACACCACAATAATTTCTGGACTTGTCTGGTTTTATTGTTTTGTTTTATTTTTATCATCTGGCCTCTTAATCCTATGTTTTATCCTCCAGTTGGATGAGTGAAACTTCTGACAAAAATGTAATCATGCTGATCTACAGTTGATAGTCCTTCAGTAGACTTCTACTACCTATAGAAAACAAAAAAGAAATCTAACTTCTTAAAATAATTCACAAAATTCCTCCCTGAAGAATACCTCTCTGCTCCTCAAACTCATATATCTTTTAGCTAGCTGTGCTCAGAAATCTCTGTGGTCTCAGCAACTCTCTCAGTGGTATGTCAATCTCAGACTGCTAGGGCTCAGTTCCCAGCTCCAGTTCTGACTGGTTTGTTGCCTCTGGGAAAGTGATGTAGCCTCTTGTGCCTAAAACATTAAAATGGGAATAGTAATAGTACCTATCATAAAGGCTTCTTGTTAAGACTGAATCATAGCATTCAGAAAGAGATTAGCAGGGGTAGCTATTATTATCACCATCTTCAGTAGTAAAACATTATGGCTTGTGAACCTCTATTAACTACCTTACCCATGAAGATGTACTTCCTACTCTATCCCCGGCAGTTCCCTCTTACCTGCCTGCACAACTTTATTTCATATTTGTTTCAAACATGTTTCCTTTTGTCTACTAGACAGAAGGTCCTACTTATTTTTGTTTTTCCACTGCACAGTAAAGTATCTATCACATAGCAGATACTCAAAAAAGTTTGTTGCCAGGCATGGTGGCACACATGCTTGTAATCCCAGCACTTGGGAGACTGAGGCAGGAGGACTGTTGTGAGTTCAAGCCAGCCTGGTCTACAAAGTGAGCTCAAGGCCAGTCTGAACTGCATAGTGAGACCAAAAAAAAAAAAAGTTTGTTGAATGAGTATATGAATGACTAACATTAAATAATGAAAAATAAGAAAGCTTTGTCAGAGGGAGGCCAATTTGGAGGCCCCTGAAATTAGGATGTAGGGGCTGGGGATTTAGCTCAGCGGCATAAGCTCCTGCCTTGCAAGCAGGCAGTTGTGAGTTCGATCCCTGGTACCGATAAAAAACGAAAAAGACAAAAAAAAAAAAAAAAAAAAGAAAGAAAGAAAGAAAGAAATTAGGATGTAGCTAAGGTGGTACTGTAGCAAAATGGATTTATTCAGTTAGAAATTTTAGTAAGTACACAAATATAACTAAGAGACAATTTCTGCCATAATAATAATGCTAACAGTGATAACAAATATATTCATTCAGTTCACATTAGAGCCAGAAACTTAACAGGAGCTGTACACACAGCAACTCACTTATGCTTCAGAGTTTCCCAGGATGCTGACAGTTTACTGTCATGGAGTTCAGAGCATCCGTGAATACTAACAGCTTACTATCAAGGACACCCGATAGGATTTGAAGTGCAGCTGTCGGAGGTGAAATATAAACATTTCAGGGACTGTTCTAGAATAGTCTAGTCTGGGGCTTTTAATGAAGGCTAAGTTAAATATAAAATAAAACATTAAGAGTGGGAATTGATCCGGTAAAAGGATCTGTGATAACAGGCTGAAGCTGAGAGATCTGCACTGGAGATAGGAAGTGAGCCTTAGCAACAGGAAGGACTTGAGCTCCTCCAATGATGAGAACAGCTGAGTTCATGTAAGGAAAACCAGCACGACAAGCTTCTCCAGGAGAATCAACAGCATACTATCTTCCCCTCTAGTTCTCCTTTTTATGCTATTCGACAACAATCCTCAAGTGGACCTTTCACACCCAGAACTGTGCTAATTCAGTTCAGCTGGATGTTACAAATTGACCACTAATTAATCCACCACACCAGCTCCACAGCGTTTCTAGTGAAGGACAGCATTTCTAGTGAAGGACAGAAATGGGGACAAATGTGGAGGAGGTAAGAAAGCAGAGATTGCAGTTGTTTAAAACTCAGTAAGCTTAAAAGGTTGGCAGCCTAGGTGGGGACAGGAGGTGGGGACAGGTGAGGTCCCCAGGTTAGAGAACACACATGTGCAGGACATCAGCCAACAACAGCAGGCAGCATGAAGCAGAGCAGAGCATAACAGTGCAAGAAGTACCTGCATAAGTATTGTACAATTCTTAAATAGGTTGTTATCTCCTATGTACAGTCTTACATAGTGCTGTAACCAGTGCATATGTGTGTATCTGTGCTGTCATGGTTATATACCTGTATCCCACTGTATGCCTGTGCTAGACAAGTCAGTCAGGTCACATCCTCAGGTGTCCTTCGAAGCCTCTGAGCTGTGAAGTAGTTTGAGTGATTCCACACAAAGGTAGTGGAATAGTTAGGAACATAAAGAGCTTTATTCAGATGTAAGTGCCTCACAGATATCTCTAGATGTGAGGAAAATGCTAGAGATTGTAAAAGTAAGAGCAGGTAAAGAGGTAAAACTATGACTGGGAGGGTGCAGAGGAGCTTCCAGAAAAAGGAAGCATTCTTCATCTTTCTGTGTTTCACCTTCCTTGCATATGACAGAAACAAGGACAAGAGGTTACATCATTCCTGGTTGAAAAACAGACATTCAGCAGAGAACAAAAGAGTTATTGAAGGCCAGAAAGAGGGATTCTGAAGGGCAGGGGCTCCTGTCTGGGAGCAATTTTTTTTTTCTGCTTTATGATGACAGTACCTGACCATATGGTTAAGATGGCTTTTGAATTGGTTTGAGGAAAGTGTTCAGAAAGATTTGGAGATGCAGTCTGGAAAACCCCTAGATAGTTTTACATAGATGTTGATGGACAATTCTGTGGGAGCTCCAAAGATTAGAATGCAGATAGGAAAGTCAAAGCTTAATGAGGTTTCAAATGAGAAACAAGACTCTACTGGAACTGGACTAGGTGCCTTTCATGTTACATTCTGGCAAAGAGCTTATCTACATTTTGCCCAAGATCTGATATTTCAAGGAAGGCTGAATTTAAAGGAGGAAAATAATTTATTTGGTATAGGAAATTTCAAGGCTTCTCAAAATTCAGCTGTGGGATGAGTACAACTGACTCCTTTTATCCAGAATCAGAAGCAAAAAAAGTAGAACCAATAGATGAGAAAAAAGTTGCAATTTCAGCAGAAAGAAATGTTTGTAAACCTGGGGCCATAGACAACATTGGCACCATTAAAAAGAAGCTCAGTACTTCGTACTGGAACAACAGGAAAGATGCTGTAGGGCATCTCAAGAAGTGACCAGACACCACCCATTGTAAGTCCAAGGATGTAAAGCAATAACAAACTAATTTGAAAGATTATGTTTTGAGAAGAGAGCACAACCTAGGAAGCCATGCTTACTTAGAGATACCTAAACAAGGGTATCACCAAGTTCACCCATCCAGGCATTGAGAGACTAGTTTTGTTGGTTACTTTTCTCTCATTGCTGAGAAAAAATACCTGATGCCCAAAATTAAGGAAGGAAAAGTTTAGCTCACAGTTTATGGAGCTTCCAGTCCATAATCTTCTTTGTCCAAGGCAGGGTGGCACATGGCAGCAAACAACAGTTTTTGGCAGCAGAAAACAGCAACAGCAACAAGAACAAAAAAGGAGGAGCATGAGAGAAGACACTTTCTGTTTCTTATATTGAATGGAGGCTACCCACCTAAGGTTGGTCCAGTCCTCACACCCACAATCTCAGCATTGGACCATGAATCAATCACAGATTCTAGAAGCCTGTTCCCATGACTGCGTAAGGCTTTGGGAGGACATCTAGACACTAACCATAACACTACTGAAGCCATGATCCAAGTAGACACAGATAGTGACTGCTCAAATTGGCAACAGACATTTAGATCTTTCATGTAGTACATGTTTAGCAGCCATACAGTATGCAAGAATTGCAGAGTAATGGAGGCTTTCACCCTTACTTCAAAGAAAGGCCCCGGAGGCCAGGTTTTGTGTCGCTGAGAAGATGATGCATGAAGCTGTGAGAATAAAGCTGAAAGTACAGTGGAGGCCCCAGGAAGTTGGAGATGCCAAGAACATGGAATGAAGAAAGCCAGAGACTTTTGGTGCTGGGAATTGAGCCCAGGACTTTACACATGTACCATATCACTGAATTGACACCCCAGCCTCCCAAGCTGGTCCCCAGATCATGCTCTGGACTTCATGGCCACTTTCATGTGCTGAATTTCAGTTTTTAGCTATCTGTCACAGTCTGCTTGTGTTGAATTTATCATATTTATAACCCTATTTCAGCTCACTTTGATGTTAACCTTTTTCCCTCACCCCCAAAACAAAGTGATACACAGTGGAAATTGGGAATCTTACAAGTGAATTGCAAGATTCACAAGAAGACAAAGGGTAGTGGCTCTGGTGACTATATCTGAGAAAACTGCTTCCACAACACTTGTCATCGTCCCAGGCATGTAGTACAAGGACCAAAGGACAGTCCAAGATGCCAGCACATCTGATTAAATATTTAAATTGCACTTTGAAGAATCCGAGCAAATGGCCATGCTCTGAAACTGATGAAGAAAATACTACGTTGGAATCTTTGCCACAGAATTTGGTATCCCACCTTTAGTTAAGGAAGAATTAAGTCATTTAAGAGGGTAATCTCTGGAGTGATTTTTCTCACTGGCACAACTCTCATAACATCAATCAGGAAAGAACTTATAGACGAGAATAATCCCATGAGGTGAAATATCACATGCTGAATGGAGGATAACTGCACTGGAGGCCTCCCCATACCTGCTTCATCTGGGAGCTTATTCCCTAATGTGAGCTTTATGGACTTTCACTTACCTAATATGAGTTTTACTCTCTGATGAGTTACTCGATGATTTATTACAAGTATAAGATCATTCTCCAGTGTGAATTCTCTGGTGTCAAATGAAGTGAGGAAGAATTTTACACATCCAGTTTAGAGTCTCTTGGGTTGGATAAGGGATAATAGTGCAGTGAAAGATTTCTTACATTCATTGCGTAAGGTTTCTCTCCATTGTGAATCTTCTGATGTCGAATGAACTGTGAGTACTGACTAAAGGCTTTGCCACACTCAACACATCCCTAAGGCTTCCCACCAGTAAGAATATCACATGCTGAATGAGAGAGGAACAAACACTAAAAGCCTTATCAATCACAGCACTCATAAAGACTCTCTCCAGTGTGAATTCTCTTGTGGCAGGTAAGATGTACACTGTGGGAGAAGGCCTTCCCCCAGGCACCACACTCATAAGGCTTCTTGTATACACACTCAAGCATATTCTCTCATGCTTAATTAAGGTGGACATCTGTCCAAAGGTTTTCTTTTTAACCTCATTGCACTCATAAGGCTTCTCTACAGTGTGATCATTCTGGTGCTGAATGAGGTGTGAGCCATGGCTAAAACCTTTCCCACTTTTGAGGCATTCATAGAGCTTCTCTCCTTTATGAACTCTTTCATGTTGAACAAGGGAAAAAAGCAGTGTAAAGCTTTATCACATGTATTACACTCACAGAGTTCCTCTCTAGTGAGAATTCACTGATGTTGAATAAAATGGCCCTTTTGACTGAAGGTTTTCCCACACTCACTGTACCCATGAGGCTTCTCTCCACTGTGAAATCTCTGACGGGACAGTGAAGTTTTGGGTCCAGCTAAAGGATTTTCCACATTCATTATGCTCATAGGGTTTTTCTCCTGTATAAATCCTCTGATGCTGAATCAGAGATAAATGGGCACTGAAGGCTTTTCTATACTCACTGCAATCATAAGGCTTCTCTCTACAGTGAATCATATGATGCTGAATAGGGTAGAACTCTCTGCTGAAGCTTTTCCCACATCCCTTACAAGGGTAAGATTTCTCTCCAATGTGAATTCTCTGATAATCATATTAGAGCTATGACTCTAGGCTTTCCCACGGTGGTTATATTTGTGAGGTTTCTCTCCACTGTGAATTTTTAAATGTTGAGTGTAAGATGAATACATGTACTAAATGCGTTCCCACATTCATTACACTCATAGGATTTCCCCCAGTATGAATCTTACAATACCGAATAAAGCATGAATGAGCACTCATTGCATGTGTGGAGTTTCTCATCCTCTGATATTGAGGACAGAGCACCACCAAATGTTTTCCCACATTTACTGCATGCATGGAGCTTCTTTCCAGTATGGACCTCTTATACTGAGTAAGAGGTCTGTTCTGCCTGAAAGTTTTCCCATACATAGTATACACAAGGAGTTTCTCTGGGCTCTTAACCCTCTGATTCTCAGTAACAGCTGAGCTCTCTGTAGGCACTTGCATGGAGACATCCAAATGACACATACAGGGTCTTGGAAGTTGATGAAGGTTTTACATTGTTAAAGAGTTCTCACCCCATGACACTCTGCTGGAGACGAAGGTCTCTATAGATACCCTTCAATGTGCAACAGAGTTTGAGTCTAAAAGGTCCCTTTCCCCAGAGGTACTGAGTGGGTAGCCACTTTTTCTTTTGAGGACTTCCACACAGGCTACAGAAACTGTTCAAAAATCATTTTTTTGACAGAAGGATTTCCTAAGTCCATCCATGGTAGATTTCCTCCAGCAAGTATTTAACTTTCCCTTGGTTTCACTCGTCTCTTCAGTTCCTTGAGAACTATTCGTTACATGATCTTTACCTTTTGCACCGAGATTTCATTTCTTCAGAAATTTCCTGCTTTGGAACCATTTTCCTTTTTAAAATCCTAGCATCATAAACTAAAAGACTGGAGAAAAATTAGATACCCATGTTTTCTTATGAGAAAGAATCAGGACACAGGTGGGAAGATTTACATGAAACAAAGTTGTCTTTAGGAGGATACTGGGTACTCAGAATGCAAAGAAATAGAAACATAAGAGGAAAAGTATGCTGCAAAAGCAACAAAAATCAGTGGGGAAGGAGGAAAGAAAAAGGAAAGAAGCCCAAAAGTCAAAGCTTACACCTACTAAGCGGTCAACCAAGAGCAGATACAGCAGAACAGCAAGCTAAGGCCTGAGAGCAAAGTACTTTTAGTTTCTGCCATTGGTTGCATAGCCAACCAGCTGTTAAGAAAATATTTCCTATGGCTTATGCACAATCCAAACATTCACTGAAAAATAAATGAGTAAGTGACTCAATGATTGAGTCACATAACAGGGAATAGAGGATAGGGAAAAGTATTTTATCTGGACAACTTAGTTTTACAGAAACAAATTTGAAAAAAAGAAGAACAGAAAAAGAAGCAACTTATTCACACAGCAGGAGAATATAAGGGAAAAACATCACCCTGCAGCATTCCCACATGTTGGGAGCCGCGTCTGTGATAGCTCGCCTTGCGCGGCGGACGTGCGGCCTGTGGTAAAGAGCAAAGCCTGAGGTAGATTACCCCTCCCATCGAATATGTTAGTTTCCTGCTTACCGCGTAAACAACCCGCTCAACAATATAGTCTGCCTGGCAACTGATGATGTTAGCCAATCAGCTTGCCTTGCTTACTTTAACATGATTGGACACTGTACCCGTATATATACCGGTGCCACCCCTGGGCGGAAGAAGAAGCCAGGTAGAAGCCCGGAAGTAGAAGCCCAGAAGGAGCCGCGGAGAGCGGACCGGTAGAGGCTTCGGAGCGAAGCCCGGAAGGAGCCGCGGGGAGCGGACCAGAGGAGGCTTCGGCTGGGAGCGATCCCAGGGCAGGCTGTACGGAGAAGGAAAATAAAAAGAAAAGGTTGTCCACTACCAGACTTTGTCGTGTGTCCTTCCTGCCGGCCGGGAGCGGACATCGACATTTGGAGGCCCGCCCGGGGACTGATCACCCCCGAGACGTGGAAGTGGACAACGCTCCAGTACAGAGCTGCGAGACAGGTGAGTTGGGGATAAGCCTGGGCTCTGGGTGGCGCGCACCTACAGGGCTTTTAGACTCCCCTCAGGCTCACGCGTAAGTGGCGGATTCCTTGGGCCTCACGCGGTGAGTAACATATTAAAAGATGGGAAACATGTTAGGTAGCAACACTAAGAGCGAGGGTGGTTGTGGAGAAAGCTCTCAAGAGCTTACAAAAGTACGCAGGGTATCTGAGCAGGCCCAGTCAGGGAGCTCCCGAGAGGGGTCCGTCAAGGGGAACAAAGATGCTAAGGAGAAGGACGGGGCTCTAGCCTCGGAGTCGTCTGACTCCGAGGACGAGGGAAAGTTGAATGGCAAGGAGGCCAAAGAGACCAGCTGTCAGGAGCCTAAGTCGCTCAATAAGGAGTCGCAGGGTTCTTTTCCAGCGTTGCCCCGCGAATTGCGCTCTGCTCAACCTGGTCTGCGGAGGAGTAGAGAGCTCCTGAGCGCTCCCCGGCGTAAGAGGGAGGCGATCCCTCGCCACGAGGCGGCCGCCTGGGAGCTCCCTCCCCTTTCGCCAGAACAGGAAGTGATGCACGGGCCCCCATTTTCCGCCCAATCACGGCCGCTGTCTTATGCTCCGCCGCCGGCGGGTCGGTATTTTTACAGGCGGCTTTGGCAGGGGGGACGCTTGTCTCATGAGGTACATCCACCTGGGATAGATAGTGGCCCCTACGGGATATTTCCTGTACAAGTAGCTATGGGCCAGGGACGCAATGTATGGGAGCCTTTTGAGATAAAGCAGATTAGAGAACTTAAAAATGCAGTTACAACCTTTGGGCCGACTGCGCCTTACACCATTGCCATGCTGGAGAATCTGTCTTCTGGGCCCCTCACCCCCGCGGACTGGATTCAGCTGGCAAAGGCGTGTCTGCCCTCGGGCAGTTACCTGGATTGGCGAGCCTGGTACACAGAGTTCTCTGCCGAGCAGGCTGAGAAAAACGCCGGTCGAGGAAATGGGGGCTGGGGATTTAGCTTAGCGGCATAAGCGCCTGCCTTGTAAGCAGGCAATCGCCAGTTTGATCCCTGGTACTGACTAAAAAAAAAAAAAAAAAAAAAAAAAAAAAAAAACCGAAAAAGATAAAAATAAAAAATAAAAAATAAAAAACAAAAAGGGGGAGTAAGCCAAGGCCTGCCTCCAAAGGCGCGGTTATCTATGACAGGACAATGGATGGGCCCGGATCCAGTGGTCAGCTGGAACCGAGGCGCGGTTTGTGTTTTCCCACAGGAACCGGGACGAGAACCACTGTGGGTACCGGAGAGACTGACACGGGCAACAAAGCCCTCGACTGAAGATCAGACCTGCCCTACTGGAGATCCATCACAGACCAACCAATAAGATGAATAGAAATAGCGGTAGCCCGAAATGGACAAGAAGATCCTCAGGCATATGCATGGCTTGCTCAATTGGCCCACGACCGAGTCTAGATATGGCGGGCATCCCTCATTCTCCTCCATAAGGTGACAATACACAGCAGGGTAGGTGAGTCAATGACGGGTAAGAGCGTGCCTCCCCAGCACGACTCGACCTAAGCCAGGCCCTACCCCATCCTGCACGTAAGCCGCTGGACTGTTAGATGCTGCCCAGGTCTAAATTTCTCTCCGAGGGGATTTCTTTACGGAGAGGAAATGAGTGCAAGCTTGTGTGCATCCAGGTTCCGTCCAGTTTGTGCCTGGCCCTAGAAAAAGGACGAGGGCCTCAGGGCCTTGGCAGACCATGGGACGGCCGACCAGGGTCTAAGCCAAGGACCTACGGTGGACCTACACATAGGGCATAAGCCTCTGCACCCAGTCCAGGAAGGGCTACGATGCGCACATTCATAAAAAATAAAATAGGGGGAGATGTTGGGAGCCGCGTCTGTGATAGCTCGCCTTGCGCGGCGGACGTGCGGCCTGTGGTAAAGAGCAAAGCCTGAGGTAGATTACCCCTCCCATCGAATATGTTAGTTTCCTGCTTACCGCGTAAACAACCCGCTCAACAATATAGTCTGCCTGGCAACTGATGATGTTAGCCAATCAGCTTGCCTTGCTTACTTTAACATGATTGGACACTGTACCCGTATATATACCGGTGCCACCCCTGGGCGGAAGAAGAAGCCAGGTAGAAGCCCAGAAGTAGAAGCCCAGAAGGAGCCGCGGAGAGCGGACCGGTAGAGGCTTCGGAGCGAAGCCCGGAAGGAGCCGCGGGGAGCGGACCAGAGGAGGCTTCGGCTGGGAGCGATCCCAGGGCAGGCTGTACGGAGAAGGAAAATAAAAAGAAAAGGTTGTCCACTACCAGACTTTGTCGTGTGTCCTTCCTGCCGGCCGGGAGCGGACATCGACACCCACACAACACATTCCATGTAAGAAAAAGTGCCTAAAATCTAGCAAATACTGTAATACAACTGAAACACAGCCATAAGTTATATGCCATTTTTCACAAACACAACAGTATGATTTGTAATATTCAACAATGGAAAATATCCATTTATAATAGGATGAATAAAGAATATGTGATACACAGCCTCTAAGATACTGCAGGGAAAGCACTATACCCTCTCCCCTACATTGGCTAATAAATAGTGGCCAGCTTTGAGTGTCTTTGTTTCAGCATATTCTGAAGCATTGACTTCCCAACCACCCATCATGCATTTTAAAAAAAGAATATATGATACATTCTCACAATGGGATGTACACAGCAGTGAGCATGAAAGAGCCATCTTTATAATTACCACGAGATCGATAAATCTCACAAACATTGTGCAAAGCAAAGAACTGAGACACAAATGTCAACAGGGTGTGTGGGACTCTGCAGACAATGCTGCTGCTTGTTTCCAGGAGTTCCTGAAACATGGTGAATATTTACCAAGTACAAGACATGAACAAATTAATGTTCATTTAAATACTCAGGTACAGGTTAGAGCTGGTGGTATGGGTCTGGTCTTTAAGAGATCACACTTCAAAGCCACTGGTAGGGACAAACACACAGAGAGGTGCTGAGAGGGAGGAAGGCAAAGTTTCATGAGCATTGCCCCTTTAGGAAGCAAAAAGAGATGAGGCAACAATTGTTTCTGAAGAGGAGCAGAGAGGAAAGAGCCTTCTGAGAGTCTTCTAGGAAGTGGAGGTCGAAGATCAGAGGTTGCCACAGAGGCAAGAAAGAAGGAGTCGGGGCTGGGGATTTAGCTCAGCGGCATAAGCATCTGCCTTGCAAGCAGGTGATCGTGAGTTCGATCCCTGGTACCAATAAAAATGAAAACGATAAAAAAAAAAGAAAGAAGGAGTCATTTGCCTTAGTTTCCTGTTATTCGATCTTCAACAAGACCTCCCAGAAGAGAGGGAATCTAGGAAAGGCAATAGGTGACTAAAAATATACAGCACTGGACAAACATGAACTTTCTGGATCAAGAAGTACGATGATTTCAAACCCATAAAAAATTATATTTAGACACAATCCTATGAAAGCACAGAAAAATGAGTCAAATCATGAACCTTAAAGCAGCCAGAAGTGCCTACAAAACTGGCACTAGCAAAACTGAGGTTGAGAAGATGAAGGAATAGCTTTAAAAGACTCTGGGAAAACTGAGACCCTAAAGTTCTATGCAGGGTACACTGTCATTCAAGAGAGAAACAGATTTTAGACAGGCTGAATGAATTTGTTACTTGTAGATCCTAATAGAATGGACCAGCAAAGAATGTAGTATACTTTGAAAGAACCTCAACTGGAATTATTGTTTGTGAGAAAAGTCATCAGAAGCCAGGCCCATGCCTATTATCCCAGCACTCTGAGGGGCTGAGGCAGGAAAATCACAAGTTCAAGTCCTGCTTGGGCAATTTAGCAAAATCCTGTCTCAGGATAAAATAATAATAATAATAATGGCTGATGATGTAACTCAGTATAAAGGACCTGAGTTCAATGCCCAATACTAAAAGAAAAAAAGCCCTGGGGGGGGGGACCCCTTGCAAACACAGGGACAATGTAAGCGAACATTGGAGTAAAGCAAGAACAAAACAACTGTGATAATGAACCAGTCAGGTTTCAAAAACATATAAACCTGTGAAAATAATCACATTCCGTTATTATGTGGGCAACAATGTGAACAGAGGCCCACAAGCTTCTTGGACAGATGCATACAGAGCATCTTGTCACAATGGGGAGGTGTATACAGGGGGATGGGTTTTCATCTGGAATGCACACTGCTTTTTATCCCATGGCATGAATGTTCTCTCTCTCTCTTGCTGTAAACAAAACCTGCAAAATCTGCTGGCAGTCATCCCAAGTGGGGGATGAGTGGAGAGGACAGATCCTCTTCCTTTTTAGAATATAATCTTATTTTAATGGAAACATTTTGCAGTAAAGGTTTACTGACCCAATTCTGTCAAATTCTGAACACATTTGTTTTTCTCTATTTTTTTACTTATTACCAGTCAATTACCTTTTCTCTAGCTTTTAGACAACATTAAAACTTTTTTTGTTTTTTAAATTTTATTTAAAGAGAAAAAACAGAAAAAGGGTACAAGTAATACAGAATTTCAAAAAAAATAAACAGTAAGAAATCACTAGTTAATAGATTACATATTGTCATCTTAGAAATAGTTGTTCAAGTTACAAAATTAAAGCATACAAACTGGACATTCAAACAGTGAGACTGCAAACAGTTCTGTTCAATGATCCAACAAAAACTTAGTAATATAGTTATACACTTAAATGACAACATTAAAACTTTTAACAAAATCCTTGAAGTGACTTTCTTAGTAGTCTAAAATATATTAAATCATTTTATGTCTTTTTACCACCTTAAAATGTTACATTTTAAAAACTGTAACTTTTGGGGCTGGGGATTTAGTGGCATAAGTGCTTACCTTGCAAGCAGGCAGTTGTGAGTTCGATCCCTGGTACTGATAAAAAAGAAAAAGACAAAAAAAAATGTAACTTTTTAAAATGGCTGAATAACAGTATGACCTGGTTTCACTTGGTAAAGTTAATATGATTTTAAAAACCATACATATATATATATATATATATATGTAAATATATATGCATATATATATTTATATTTTAACCAGAAAGAAAAATACTTTTTAAAGGCATGCTGAGGTTGTAAGTAATTAGTTGAGGACTAAAACATTAAACAAGGCATCACAAAAGACAGGACTAACATTGAAGAAACAAAGGTTTTTCTGTCTGTGGTTCAGTGACCTAAAGGGAAATAAATTTTCATTATGACCCTTAAGTCCAGTGAGCCGCATGGAACCTGCAACAGTAGGTTAAAGTTTAAGAGAAATAAAAGAAACCTGAATGTTAGTACTGAGGTAACATTCAAATGAACAGTAAAATATACCAAGCACAAAACCAAATGGGCAAAAAGCCCCAAATCACAAATGGGCTAGAAGTCCTTTTCCAGAGGGCATCCCACTCTGGTGCAGAAGGAGCACCAAGCTCATCTGCAACTTCAAACATGCGCACTCAAATTACAAAGAACAAAAGACCCAAATACTTACAGATGGTTCAAGCCAATCGATCAGTGAAAAATAATGTGGGGAGGGGTCTCTGTGTAATCCCAGAGAGCCCCCAAATGTTGTACCCCCCAAAAAACAAGGCCCCATGGTGTTATTCAAGGAAAAAAACGGGGCAGCAAGACATCTTTTTAAAAAAGAAGCACTTTTATTTAAGCTGGCACCAGTGACACAGTGCAGGTAGAGTTTGCAAAGCTGTGCAACTGGGTTAGAATTTTGACAGATTTTTATAGCACATTAACTGAGTGAAGTGACAGAGCAGGAATTAGGAAGACCTTTGTTTCCCTTTGCTTGAAGTCAGAGACATTTCACAGTTGGTGGTTAGCCCCCTTTTTTTTTCTTAAGTTACAGCCCTTCCTCTGCTAACTCCAGGAACATGTGTTTCTCACTAAGGGAACAAAGGTTGACACAGCATCATTTGTCTCTCACAAAGGGAACAATGGTTGACACAGCAAACAGGTTACTAAGGTGATAACACGTACAGAACGGTATGGCAACACGTCAGTTAATTTATAACTAATTTATAACAATGTGGTTGGTGCTCCAGGTACATGGTTATTAGGCAATAAGCATAGAGCACAACACACTGATACATTTTATATTTACAAAGTCAGTGAATTTTTAAGTAAAAAAACAACCATTATTCCACATACTGTCCAAAGATTAAAAAGAAAAAAAGACATAAATATCTAACTCTCCTAACATAGCAACTCTCTCTCTCTCTTTTTTTTTTTTTTTTTTTTTTTGGTACCAGGGATTGAACTTGCAACTTCACACTTGCCAAGCAGTGCTTATGCCGCTGAGCTAAATCCCCAGACCCACAGCAACTCTTTCACCTTCTGTCCCACACCTCTCCCCATCCTGTCTTTTCCAGTTATATCAACCAGGGTTCTCCAGAAAAGCAGAACCAATAGAATACAATTTCCCTCCATCCATAGTTTTACTTTTCATGGTTTCAGTTACCCTCAGTCAAATGTGACCCGATAATAAACGGAAAATTACAGAAATGAACAATTCACAAGTTTTAAATAACTTTTATTATAGCGTATAATAATATATTTAATTATTTTATAATTATTTGCTTTTTGTTTTGTGACCTGGATAACAAACATAGGGCAAGCACTCTACTACTAAGCTATACCCTCAGCTTTTTTCTTTATTTTGTTTTACACAAGGTCTTACTCAGCTTCCCAGCCTGGCCTCCAAATTTTGATCCTATTGGCCAAGCATGGTGGCACATACCTGTAATCCCAGCATTTGTGAGGCTGGGGCAGGAGGACTGCTGCAAGTTCCAGTTCAGCTAGGGCTACAAAGTGAATCCAAGGCCAAGCTGAACTGCACAGAGAAACCTTGTCTCAAAAAAGACCAAAAAAAAAAAAGTAAAAAAGAAAGAAATTCAAACTGTGGTCATACTTCCTCAACCCCCATGTAGCTTGGATTACAGCTATGTTTGATCAAACCTGGCATTACTCTCATTATATTATTGTTGCTGATAATTTCCACTGTGCTTAATAAAGTAAACCTTATGAGAACAAGTCAGCATCTCCCAAGAATCATGCTGGAACTTGGGGGACCAACCAAGAAAGCAATAAGCCTTCCTTCCTGGTAAGCAGCAGGAGAAAGCCGCGGCGCACCAGGGAGAGAAAAAAGTGTCTTCCATGAGCCTACCGGCGGCGTGCAAACTTCCTGTCCCCCCCCCCACCCCAACACCCATCTCCCCCCAACTCCCCCATCCCCCCACCCCGGTTAGCATATTGTTTGGTTGATTATGCTGACCTGGAGCC